TTTGCAATGAGACCACATTAAGCTTTTATCGAAATTGCTGAAACTGAGTTGTAATCAATGGCTTGGTCAACACATCTGCAATATGATAGTGTATTGGAATATAGTTGACAGTTAACTGCTCATCCATCACATTTTCAAGAACAAAGTGTACATCTAAGTCCACATGCTTAACTTTGGCATGTAAAACATGATTGGCAGCCATAACAACAGTACTAGTGTTATCACACCATATAACCGGAGGTTAAGACAATTCCATATTCATGTCATCAAGAACAACTTTTACCTAGAGAACCTCAGATTTTGTATCAGCAAGACTTCGATATTCTGCCTCAGTCGTGGATCTAGACACTGATCTCTATTTGTGAGAACTTCATGAAAACAAATGATTACCTAAGTAAACACAATATCCAGAAATCGAAAGCCTATCATCGGGGTAATTACCCCAATCTGCATCTGTAAAGGCCTTGACCTGAAGTTTTCCTTGGTGCATGGTCAACCAAAGTCCATAATCCAACGTTCTTTTGAGATAACGAAGAATGTGTTTAACCCCCCAACCAATGAGCTTCACGGGGTACTATGCAACTTCATAAATCGCAAATGCAATATTTGGTCTAGTATGACACACATACAATAATGCACCAACTGCACTACGATATTGTTGAGCATTCACCGGAGCTCCTGCATTCTCTGTACTCAACTTAGGAGTGGCAGGTAGTGGTGTATCCACTGGTTTGGCAGTATACACATTAAACTTGAGCAACAACTCTTCCACATACTTCATTTGGCTGAGAAACAGTCCAGTTACAATGTGAACAACTTCAATGCCTAAAAAATAATGAACAAGCCCGAGGTCTTTTAACGAGAACCTGTCATGAAACTGCTGTTTAACTTCTTTAACATGTTTTTAGAATAACATGTCACAAGAATATCATCAACATAAATAGAAACATACGTAACATCCTAATTTGAACCATAAATGAACAAGAAACTATCAGCCCGAGAGGAACACACAAATAATAAATTCCTAGTAATTTATGGAACACACAAGACATTCTTAAGCTGTAAATCACATATTTTAGTAGCCAAGGGCACATAACCATCACCAAGATAAACATTACCTTTACCCGAGTATGGCCAACTCGAGGATGCTCCAGCTTTCTCATACGTCACATGATGCATAGCTCCTGAGTCAGGATATCATCTATCAGCAATAGATAATACACCTTTAGCAATGAGCGAATTGATTTGCACCGTATCAGCAGTGGCATCTTCATTAACCACCTCACCACCTGCAGTTGTACTCACAAATGGATTATAGCAAGACTTATTGGAATTAGAATCATATTTACACATATTAGCCTACACTTCATTGTTATTCCTAGATTGTCTAGATGTTATTCTTTTGTAGTTCTCATTAAAACGATGCCAACACCTATCCACCAGATGACCAATCTTTCCACATAATTGACACTGATGTCGAGGTCTGCCCTTATACTTATTAGTGTTCTAATTTTTTATCACTTGACCTATTGCTAGCATAGTACTTATCACGATTACCACCAGCATTTCCTCCATTATAACGATCATGCTTGGTTAGATTGATACTAATCGGTGTCTTCATGAGATCACCAATACGTGATTCAACATCAATAAGAATAGAAGTGACAATGTAAAATGTGTATGGCTCACGACTTACAGTTATGGCAGCAATAAATGGCTCAAAATCAACATGAAGCCCATTAAGCAATGTAACAATCTGATCAATCTCTGAAATCACACTCTCACTCGTCGCAAGCAAGTCACAAATCTCCTTGATTTGTGGAAAACTCACGAACTGACAAATCTCCTTATTCAAAAGATCTAAGCCTTTCATACAAGCTCATAATCTTTGTAGTGGAGAGATTTGAATACATACTGAGAACTGTATTCTAGATCCTAGAAGAGGTATGTGCTCCCACAAGTTGAGGTAGAATCGAATAACTAATTGTTAAAAGAAGCCAAAACGCTAAAGAACTGCCCTGATTTTTGTGACGATGATAAGTCGGATTCACCATTAACTCACCAGAATCATCTACAATAGTTTGAGGCGGAATCGGCAAAGATTCATCCAACAAATGCTCCAGCTCATGTCCTTGAATCATAAGATGCATTTGCTGCTTCCAAAGAAGAAAATTATTGTCATCAAGTCGAACATTGACATATTTGTTCATAAATGGTGTCTACATCATTCGATTGTTACCCACAACGACATTACTATCTTCAGATGTAACGTCAACAATAACAAAAAGTCGGGCATAAAGAAAAGAACAATGAAGACCGAAGAAAACCACAGTGAAATCCACTGGCAAGAGGATCGTTAGACATCCGATGCCATGTTGAAACTGTGAACTACACAGCTTAACCAGAAGGAAAGAGAGGTAAAAAGAAAAGAAAATGTATGTTATTAGATTTATCTAGCCCTTGACCAGAAGGTCTTCTTATATAGCCAAATGATTTTCTTTATGGGTTAACACTATAAGTTCAACCCAATAGAAAGCTGGTTTAACTGAAAAACTGGCTTAACTGAAAAACTACCATTTAACAGAAACGTGGATAACAACTAACAACTCCAGCTGACAACCCCTCTAATTGGCACCATTCTATTCTTAACAGAGAGGAGGTGAGAGGCTTTGGTCTTGGTTTAGGGGGTTTAAAACAGGAAATGAGATGCCTTTTTTTTATCTTAGGTCTATGTCTAGGTTCAACCGACCACTGTTGGTGGTGGTCGGGGTTTGTAGTAACGTCGATTTACTATAAAAAAGGGCTTCGTGTTGGGCTCTCGGTCGAGCAAAGGAAAGGAGAAGCGAGAAGGGTTGTTAGGCCATTTACCTTTGGTTGGGGCTTTTCGGTCATGGTTCGGTGGTTGAAGGGGCGAGCTATCATCGGAGTGAGGTGGTTGAGTTTTGGCCGGCGATGGGGGCTTAAAGTTTGGGGCTGGTGGCCGCATATAAGGAATAGAGAGGATGAGATACTTAGTTTAGTTTTAGTTTTAGTTTTAGTTTCTTTTAGGTTTAGTTTAGGTTTATTCAATTAATAAAATAGAGGTCTTATACAAATTTAAGGGTAAATCCCTCTCAGACCCCCTTTAATTTAGGCTACATTTTTACAGTTTGGTCACTGGTTTCCTTTATTTTTTATTTTGATTGTTGCATATTAATTTCATTTTGTTTATATTCTGGTCACATCTACATTTTGTTTTATTTTATTTTTGACATGTTATTGTTGATTATATTTTGGTCACCATTTTTGCTATTTTGTTTGATTCAATTTAGCCATTGTTTTCTATTTTATTTCATTTCAGTCCCATGTTCTGTTTTTATTATTCGAATTAGATGCATCTGTTTTTATTATCTTTGTTTTAGTCAATGCTTTAGTTATAATTTGGTTGTTGTCATTTTATTTCATTTCATTTTAGTCTTCCTTGTTAAAATATGAATATTAAATATTAATACGACCTCGCGATAACCCGCCCTGGGGTATGATTAGCGTTATTCATGGTCCGGGTAAAATTCTAATTTTTAACTACTAACCCACTAGTTTTCTAACTTATATAAAATATATTCGAACTAATTTACGACCTCACAATGACCTATCCTAGGGTATGATTCACGTTATTTATGGTCCGGGTAACAATTAAAAATTAACACCCATAAATTCTAATTTTATTCGATTGATTTATTTTCTGTTATTTACATTTTGTCCTATAAATTTTTGTTATTTTAATTTCAACCTTTAAATTTCAACATTTATATTTCAGTCCTTTAAATTCTAGCTTTCAATTTTATAAATTATTTTAATTTAAGCTTTAGTTTATAATTTATTGTATTTTGGTCCTTCATTTAATTAATTTTAATTTCATCCTTTCATTTTAAATTTATTTCAATTTAGTCCTTTTATGTGTATTAATTTTTTTTAATTTTGTCTTTAATCTCAATTTCTTTAAATTTAGTCCTAGATTTTTTAATTAAACCTTTTGATTTAGATTTTTAATATTTTAGTCATAATCTAGATTACTCAGATATTAGGTTTAGTCCTTTAATTTATGGGGATTTTTAATTTAGTCCTCGCTCTTGCTCGAGGTTCCATCTTAAGTATTCGATCCAAAATTTGGTTAAAATTGACTAGGTTAATAATTAGAGCCTCCACTTTAGGTTTAATTTCAAACTTAGTCCTTTAATTTAAGAATTCTTAATTTGGTCCTCGCTTTTGCTCAAGGTTCCATTTTAATTATTCGATCCAATAATTGGTTAAAAATTGATCAAGGTTAATGTTAAAGCCTACTTTTTTAGGTTTAATCCCCTAGGTTCTTTAAATTTTATAATTTGCTCCTTTAAGTTAGAGGGAAGCTCTTAGTTAATTAATTTACTATAATTAGGTTTCATAACCGATTGTTTAATTGCATTTTGTTTTCAAAATAAGGCAATATTCATTTATTAGGTGGTTAGTAGTGTATCTCACGCTTTTGCCCGAGGTGACTGCTATCGATTCCCGAAGTAAATCAACATCATTTTCAAAAACTCACATCATGATTTCTAAATCATTAAGGCAATGTTCATTTATTGGGATTGGTAAGGAAGCTTCCGCTTTTGCTTGGGGTGGTCGTTGTTGATCTTGGTAAATCAACATCCTTTTTAAAATATGCATATATAGTGAATTTTAAATTAAATAAAATTGCGAACTCAAAATTTCCAAGTTTAAAATATAGGTAATCGACTAGGTAACAATTTTGGGCGCTGTGGGGTGCTAATCCTTCCCCCGCGTAAGTAACTCTCGAACTTGATTTCTGATTTCGCAGACCAAAACATGATATTTTTTTATAAAATAAAATATTTTATTAAAATTACTTGATTTAGGTGTTCCAATCTCACCTTAAAAATGATTGGTGGCGACTTCCATCTTTTCATAAATCATTTATTTTCCAAAACGTTGGATCGGTCTTCCCACCGAAAATAGGTTATGACAACTACATACGAAGCGATCCCGCATAACTTTGCAGCCAATGCCAATGCTGCAGCATGGTTACCACTGACTTTGAAGAACGTGATCATGCCTGATCCAATTAAATAGCAAGGGAAACGAAACATATGAAGATTACTGGTGAAGGGTATATATATCATAGACGGACTTGAAGTAGAACCTGACGTGAGTTGCAACACCCTTGGCAGCCTGGTGGTCATCAAGTGAAAATACAGCATTGCAAGCACCTCTGAATTTGAATGCTCCCCTGTCAAGGGAACACAATAGGAGAGTCTTGATTTGAAGAAATAAAATCAAAACAGGTAAACAAATGATTCGCATGCACCATAAACCACTAGTTTCTTACCCCTTTTAGAAACATTCACATTTAAAGAACAGCCTCCTACCAGAAATAGCATCTAGAGACTCCAAGGTCATAACTGCAGGTTTGTGTATGAAAGAATTGGTGCGTGCCTGTGCTGCTTTGATAGAGGAGAGATCAGCAGCATACTTCTCCTCGTTTACTTCCATTTTTAAGCCTCGGATTAGAACACTTCAATTCCAAACTGGGTGAAACAGAAACAAATCAAACAATTTCATAAGCTATAGTTCGATTAAAGCAATATCCAATTAACAAATTTAAACGTAAAAATCGAACTCCCATTGTCAACTAACCAGACTAAAAGATGCAAACACTTGTTTTAGAAATGAAACAAAAAAAGCACCATGAAGGAAGACAAAGATTAAAAGCAAAAAAAAAAAATTAAAGACTTACAAAATATAACTTCGAGAAGGATATTGAATTCCTTTTTCCCCTTTTTTAACTGGTGAGGTTCGAAATGCCGAAAGCTGAAACGAGAACGAACGCCAATGAGATCGGAGAGAATGTCAATGCAATAGCAATTAGCAAAGGTCAATACGACGGCGCTTTGGGAGAAGCCTGTGCTTTTTCCCACGTGAAGGAAGGTAAAGGATAACTTCCACAATAAGTTACTCTATCATTAACAATTTTATAATTTGATCATTATATTTCAAAAAGAAAAAAATACAAACAAATCACTCAATTAATAGATTGTAATAATCAGATCATTGTATCACTAAATATAGAATGATTTTCTAGTTTGTAATCTTATATTCATGGAAAATCCACACCATGTGCATGGTTTTATAGGTAAATTATATCATAAACCATTTTATTATTAATAATTTATAATTGAGCCATTGTATTTTAAAAATTTGTAATTGAGTCATTAATGCCATTTTCTTATCATTGTTTTATGGTAACCAATGAACTTCAAATTTCATCGTAAGTTTTACGTCTATTTTTCCGTTCAATTGATCATATTAGATTTTAGAGAATATTTTTTAAAGGTCATGAAATTATCTTTAAACTTTTAAACTTTTTTAACTTGGTCTAGATTGTTTATTGTCGAATAACCTTCATTTCATGATATATTCTTTCTCTCACCACCAACAACAATATCTACACCATTCATATCATCGAATGAAACCCTTAATTTTCTAGAAACAAAAATGACTCCGACCACCATCACATGTAACAAAAAAAAATTAAAACCATTTTCAAAAAAAAAAAATCTTTTAAATATGTTTGCATTTAACGATTCAATGATTTAGTTGTTACAATCAACTAATTAAGGGACTCGATTGTATCTTTTTTTATATACGGTAATCTGATTATGAAGTTGCTAATAATAATAGAGGGAGTTGTGTGATATAAAATCAAAATGCAAACTTGTTATCCATAGTCAATCCCCGATAGCATAAACAAAGGCAGAAACCCAAAACAGATGGCAATAGCGAAAGGGGGGAAATGACGCTCAAAATCTACGCAGATCGAATGTCTCAGCCATCTCGTGCTGTTATCATCTTCTGCAAGTAAATTTCATTTCTTTTACTTGTTTTCAACTATTATCTGAGTTTTCTCTCTCTTTTTTAATTTTTTTTAATAAAAAACAGGATGAATGGTATAGACTATGAGGAGATCAAAGTACACATCTCAAAGGGTCAGCATTTAACTTCTGAATTCGCAGGTAGTCTTTCATTTGTTATTAATATACCATTCGAATTGTAATCAGTTAAATTAAGTTTATGAAATTATTTTATAAATTACGCGTTTCTAGGAAAGTAGATACAACATGTTCAATTTTTATTCCTTTGGTTATGTTGCGGAAATAAATCCCATGAAACAACTACCAGCCATCGCTGATGGAAGATTTAAGTTGTTTGAGAGGTATTTGAAGAGTATTTCACTGACCCCCTGCTTTTTCCTCTTAATTTCAAAGGTTTCCTACAAATTTACTTTTTATATATATATTTTGCAGCCATGCCATTCTGATCTATCTTGCTAGCGCATTTCCGGGAGTTGCAGACCATTGGTAAGTACTAAGTACAGTTGTTTTCTCTTTCGACTTGCATTCTATGTTACTTTCCATTTCACTTAATTTTCGGAGTTCCTTACCCGGTTCTGTATACTATTATTTATTTCCATTTCACTTATTTGTTCATGGTTTGTGTTATATGGGTGTTAATGCTTGAAGGATCTTGTGACACAACCAACTTACTTGCTGTTCTAATCAAAGGTTTATCAATATATTTCAGTAGATTTCATATTTGGTTTGAATCTGCAACCCAAATTGTTAACAGATTTTCTTGTCCTGTTTTAAGGTATCCAGCTGATGTTTCAAGGAGAAGTAGGATACATTCGGTGTTGGATTGGCATCACTCCAACTTACGTCGTGGTGCAGGTGTATAATTAACCCTGAAAAGAATCAAACTGTTTAAATGATTGGTGAATGGTTATTGATGGTGTAGGATAATATTGCTAACAATCATATTTTATGACTCGTTGTTAGCCCTTCTGGGTCGATGCTATTACAATAACATGTTCTACGGGTAGGCTTTTCAAGCATCAAATTTGTGCACTTATTTTTCTATTTCATTATTGGACTATCAGAGATGCTAAATTATCTTCCATTCTTTCTTTTGGCACCTCTTACATCACTAAATGATTTTGCTTGGCTGTGTATGTAGACTCAAACTCGCTTTATCTACGTGGTTTTATCACCTCCTGTCACATATTATTGGCTATCAGGTTATGCATATAAATGATCCCTTCCTTGGGTTAGATATGACTTTTGAACTTGGTTCTCTTTTCAGCCACATATGTTTTCAATACTACAATAGCACCTGTACTTGGCCGTCCATTGAATCCCCAAGCAGCTGCTGTAGCTGAGCCAATTCTGTCTTCAGCTCTTTCAAAGTTAGAGTCCTTTTGGCTCAAGGGTAATGGACGTTTTCTGCTAGGTGGAAACCAGCCATCGATAGCAGATCTTAGCCTTGTTTGTGCAATAATGCAACTTGAGGTACATTTTTGTGACTATATGTTTTTGTCCACATTTCAATTCTTCGTTGTTCGGAATATAAGATTATATGATATAGGTTCAGGTTTCCCTCCTATAGATTACATCTTTCCTTTAAGACGGTCCTGCACGCCATTCATTCATCATCGTAATCAGCTCAACTAGAGGGGAAACTGAGCCTTTCTCGAGTACATGCGATTCTTTCTTGGATCTTACACATTTTAGGACCATAGCCTTATTAAGCATCATAAAATATGTTCCTTTTTGGCATGTATTTTTTAGGATCATCTCCTTTATAAGCTCCATAAAATAGGGTCCTTTTCTGTAATCTTTAGTTATCGTCAGTTTCTTTTTCTATCTTCATCTTCTCTCATTGACATGCCAAAGCAAAACCACTCATACAAAGAAAGAAAAAGGTCAAAGCTGGCATAGTTTATCCAAGCCAGTTCTCCTGAGTCGTGGTTCTTTTCTGGCTACCATCAATATTGCGTTTTCTTACATGAAAAGTATATGTAAATCTGCAAAATTTAACAGTGATATTGATTATCAGTCTTACTTAATTACTATAAAGAAATGGCAAAAAGGTTGACTTTTGTTACACAGACTTGTCTTTCCTGCATTTCGGTTGAATAGGTTATCGTACTTCATTCTCTTCTTTTAACGGAGCTCAAAACCAGGTTCCGGGATTTATCTTTCTGCTCAATACCTACCTGTAATGTATTACTTGCATTGCTTCAGCTTCCCCAAAAATACACAGGTTACCACATTGATAGCTAACTTCAGAATCTTTGTTCCATCTTGACTTGCAGATCTATGCATGTACTTAGAAAATGAAATTTATTTTGAAAGACATTGATATCTGATAAAAGTTTCTTGGATATAGGTTTTGGACGAGAAGGAACGTGCTAGGTTATTGGGTCCTCACAAGAAAATCCAGCAGTGGATCGAGATCACAAGAAATGCTACGAGTCCTCACTTCGATGAAGTGCATAAAGTCCTCATGAAAGCCAAAGAAAAACTACAAAACCAGCGGTTAAAGGCAGCAAAAAATGAAGAAGGTGGATCTGACATGAAAAAGGCATTGCCTTCAAGATTGTGAGTGAAAACCGTGTACTGTATTACAAAGTATTGATCACCAGATCTTCTGTTGTTTAATCTTTCCCCTACTCTTTACAGAGGCTGCAGTAATGGTTGATAAGCAAACTATTAGCTTGTATAAATACAGACATGTTTTACCCATGGTTTATCCTGCGAACTGCTCAATAATGAACACAGTACTTTATAATCATTGTGCAGAACAAATGCCAGATTGAAAAGATTCAGAGACGCATTTCCATAACTATGAATTAGAAGCCTGACCGGGTGAATTGAACTGAATGAATTCTAAAACTGGGTTTTATTTGATCTGTTTTTTAGGGTAAAATACGTCCATGTCCCTCAATTTGATTACAAACATGTATTTTTTTTTGTTTACCTTCTCGTTCCCAATGTTTCGACCTAACTAATTTGGACCGACTCGGATCATATATTTGACTTTGGTGGGTGAGTCTTCTAACAAGAATTTTTTGCATACACGAGCTTGAACTCGAACTCGAGATATGCTTAAGCGATATCAAACTGCTTATCACTTGAATCAACCCCTATTAATACAAACATGTATTTTTTTTCTAAAGCAATTTTAAATTTAATATTTTGATTAAAATATTGTTATAAATATGTTATTTTTAAAAATTCAAAACACACGTCTTATATGACTGGTATAATAATAATTTTGATCTCTAAAATTTATATTTATATTTATATTATTTTTATTTTAATTTAAAATGATTCAATAAATTATTTGTTATATTTAAAATTTTTATTACAGTAGAAACTCTTTAAATTAATACTCAGTAAATTAATAAACTCTCTAAAATAATAAATTTATCCGATCCCGACTTGGGCCAATGTAAAAATCTGAAAAACTCGATAAAATAATAAGATAATAATTTTTCGTAAAATCCCTTTATAATTTTCGGTCCCAAGAAAATCATAAATTAATAATTCATAGAAACTGAAAAAAAATATATTATACTCTATTGAAATATGATTCAATAGTTGTCTGTTTTCTTTTAAAGTTCAAGTCTATTTAGATCTTATTATTAATTTAACTCATTTCTTGTAACGTAATTCTAAAAGGCAACGTAAAAAATATATTTATTTTAAATGAAAAAGAGTTTTGCTGATCGGATCTAAGTGGGGATTGATAAGAGTTCTACACGTGTACACAGATTAAAGCATAAGGTGTCGAAACACTAAACAGCAGGCTTCACGGGAATGAGTGGGAATCTAGACCTGGTTTTTTCTCGCCTTCCTCTTTCCAACTTCTCCTCTGGAACAAAACAAAGCATTACTCAATGACGAGTCAAACAACTGAAAACCCAGAATACATTTATGATCTTACTGTCAAGGTTGGTCTCTTGTTTCTTCCTTCAATCCTTTTATGTACACTGTTCAAACTCTTCAGTTACCCTTCTGAGTAATTCTTGTTCAATTCCACGAAGATAAGCCAAAGAAAGAAATCAAGGTAAAGTAGAAGCTAGCTATGATTTTTAGTTGTTTAAACTGATCGATTTGTATTATAGATAGCGAATGGGTAAAGTTTGATAGTTGCTCGACTCCTTTTCAATAAAGCTTGAAGTTACTTTTTTGTTGAGGCTGTTCAGTTATTGTTGAAGGGCAGTAGGAAGAGGGAAACATGAACTATATTGGCAGCTAAATTAACTGGATAGAAGATGCTTGCCTGAGATATCAGTCGAGAAATCATGCTTTTTTGTATGAAAAGTAATGACACAGACAGGAACTTTCTCAGTTTCTTAATGCTTTATTCTTCCAAGAAGGATTCTTAATGAATTTTAATTTATTGAGATTCTATTTAGCATAAAATGGGAAATAAGGTAGTGAAATCTAATGGTAGTCTTCTGCTTTGAATTGCAGACCAATCAAATGGTTGTAATTGGTATCCTTTTGCTTCAATTTGACAGGATGCCAAGGGAAAATATGTGAATCTCGGTATTTACAAAGGGAAAGTGCTATTAATTGTTAATGTTGCTTCCAAATGGTATATTCTTTCTATTTCTCTGATCAATACTGGATTGTGTTATATTTGCAACAGAGCCAATTGATGATGGTTTATAGCCTAGAATTTTTCAGTCCTTTGCGCCAAAATCCTTGTTCTTTCGTTCTTTGACCAATTAGGGTTTCTTTTTTATGATCCTCTCTTTGGTTATTATGTGGCAGTCGAATGACAAACTTGAACTACACCGAACTGAATCAATTATATGAGAAGTATAAAGGACAAGGTTTGCGTTTTGAACCTTGGGAGATTTCCCCGTACCTTCTGTATTTCCATCATTAGAAATAAATTACAAATCCCGCTTCAAATATATGGATATTGCAATGTTAGCACAGACTCAACTATGCATTTGTTTTGTAAAAGGCTTGGAGATTCTGGCTTTTCCATGCAATCAGTTTGGAGAGGAGGAACCAGGATCAAATGATGAGATTTCGGAATTTGTTTGCGCCCGCTTCAGATCGGAATTTCCCATCTTTGACAAGGTAGTCAGATCAATGTTGTGCTTGCTTTACTGTTGAAATTAGTAAAACTTGGTTATTTTTGCCACAATCATTGGTTACTATATGGGTTTTTTCAGCATGATTCATATACCAGACGATCTACCTTGATTGGCATGGTTTAGGCTCAATTTTGATAACATGCTTGCATGAAGAACTCTGCTTATGAACCATATGCATAATGTGCAAAATTTCTTGAGGCACTTGTTGTTTTGGTATTAGATTGAAGTAAATGGCAATAATGCTTCTCCACTGTACAAGTACTTAAAGTTAGGGAATTGGGGAATTTTCGGAGACGATATCCAATGGAACTTTGCCAAGTTCTTGATCGATAAGGATGGCCAAGTTGTTCATCGTTATTACCCGACCACTTCCCCGCTTAGTCTTGAGGTGAAACCATCTCTTCCCCCCCCCCCTTTTCTCTCTCTCTAAGAGTTCAATTCTGGCATTTTATATTGAGGTATTGTTATCATAAAGTGAATTTGATCTTTGGATATACATGGTGTTACTGCAGTATGACATAAAGAAGCTATTGGAATGATCATTGAGAAAGAGGGAAGATGAAAAGCTGCCTGATTAACGCTGAGAGATAAAAGCTAGACGGACCAACCAGTCGAAGTGTAAGCATAAAATACTTCATCTCATACATGAGCGTTTATTCCAGGTTTGTAAAATTTGTATTGCAGAATTCCATGTTAGAACTATGTCTAACAAGACCAAATTCACCATGTATGTTAGTTTTATATATTGGATGTAGTGGTTGCCTTTGTTTAAGATCAAACTCAAGGGCATTGACATTGGGCTTTGGCTAAAATGTCATTGGCACTGATCTTTTCAAGTTTGTTCTTGCATTAAATGCAACTTTGTTTTTATTGATTAATCATCTTGTTGTAATACAAAACGTCACAATTTGATTTTTCCATTTCTTATTTCCTGCACTGCTTTCATTCACTTAAAAAGATTAACAAAGTTGTCATTTGGATTTCAGGATTTAGACCCTTGTTTTATTTATCATGTCTTTCAGGAAGGACACAGCTTCATTTGGATTTCAGGATTTAGACCCTTGTTTTCTTTATCATGTCTTTAAGCCAGGACACAGCTTCATTGCTGTGTGTTGACAATGCACTTGTATTCCATATTTTGTTCATCTAAACTTGAAATGCTGCATAAGGCAAATAATAATGGTTGGATTTCGCAGTTGAACAAACAATGAACCCCTTAGCCCTACCTCCACCCAAAGCTAGAGACACAGCTGGCTTTGATACAATCTAAGTTAGCAGAAATCTATCGCCCCTATAGGGGTGATTTGGGAAGATCTTAAACTTTTCATCTCAGATTCTGTAGATGTACAACATGAATGTACTAGAATGTAGTGATCATCCTCGCATCAGGTCAATATCTCGGGGAGGACTTCTCAGAGCAACAGGCCGTGAACCAGGCCAAGCACTCATAGGAGGGGGAGTGAAATGTTGAGTCGAAGGTGCACTTGTTGGCATAGTTGTTTCATTGCAGAATTGGGGCACGGAATCCTTTCCTTTTGGACTAGCCAGTTCTTTGCCCTTAGTTTTAGATCTCCCATAAACAAAACTGCACACCACCAGCTGCAGCAAGTGTATATAATAATACCTTAGAATCATACGCATAAAGAGCCATTCCATAGCCCTCTCGTTTTTTTAACTCTCTGAGACATATATAACACCCGTTTGAAGCTCACTCACCCATACAAATAAGACCCTAGTCAAACTCAACCTGATTTTATAAGTAAATGTAAAAAAATATACCTGAACTGGGCTTGATGCAATCAATGTTGCAACCCCGCCACCTATGACATGACCATCAGGGGTAGAAAGAGAAGCACTTATGCCTCCTGTTCGACTACGAGGTCTGCCATCCTCGGGAAGCAAGTAAGAACCAGACAAGCATAATATCTCGAAACGACCCTAAGAAAAGCTAAAACAGATCAAATAAGTTCCCACCAAGCTAAACATAACATGATTTTGCAAGATGCATATTGAGTAGAAAAGCCAAAGGAGTGTCAAGTGCCACAACCTCATATGTCATCGTAGGCGTAGAAGATGCAGGTTGACGTAGAGTTACAGAGGAAACTGTACCACTGCCAGATAAAATGCAGACAGCTCTTGGCCTTTGTTGTGAAAAGGACAACATTTTCTCTACAATATCCTGTAAAAAAAATATAAAAAATTGCACATTCCATATAAAAAATAAAGTTCTACATGATTAGGGAATTGATGATGCTATCTTCAGCTATATCATGTAACAAAACACAGTAATGATAATTCGGAACGGATACTGCGTGTATTATCATATGCGCGTATTTAACTGCAAAAGATGCAAGTCCAAGATCAATTCAATTTGTATTGAATGTGGGATGAACTGAAAAGATGTGGTTTACTTCTCCAATTCCAACAGTAACAACATGAGGAGCAAAGGCCTGTCCGGCTGAACTGTTCATCCATTCGCCTATCAGAAACAACAGAACAGTTAAATACTGAAAGCAAGTAGCATATATATTCACAACACAGGTAGTTTCTAAAAGCATCTCTAATTCTGCTGAGAACTAAACTCCCACATGTTACTATTTCTTACCAAAACATGTAAGCTACTTTCCAATTCAAAAACCAAAATGCAACAAATATCTAACCTAGAGTTGCTAATTGCTGCTTCCTTCCAGTCCCAGGAGGACGTCCTTTCTTTCTTTTGTGACCAGAAGCATCTGACCCTGATGAAGACTTAGGCTTAGAGGGCAAAGGCAAAAGCCCCAGTGAAACCTGGCCATCAGGAGCATACTTCCGGGGCCTCCCTCTCTTTTTCTTAACGGTTGGCACCCCAGAGGGCAGCCCCATGTCAATGCCAGGAGGAAAACTGACATTTTTAGGCTCCCCTGTAACCGTTGATCCAATGTTCGACTGAGGCTGAACCTGGGGGTTAGATGAGGGCCTGAAACCTGGTTGAGAATAAAATGCAGATAAACTAGGCCCACTAACTCCTCTATGAATATAATAAGGAGCTGACCCCCCTGATAATGCTATAGCTTCCCTCCCATCCATGCATTTACTACTTAATTAATCACTGTTTCAGAAGAGAGACTGATTTTTTAAAATTTGTTTGGGACCAAAAATTTCGGTTTATTTAAAGCCTTTTAACCCCAAAATTAAACTGATTCAAACTTGCAAAAAACAAAGTAGTGGTTTTTGAGAAAATGGTTTTACCATAGCCTCAACTTAAACAACTAGAGAATTTGAATTCTCTGCTTCAAAGGAATCCTGTTTTTAACCAGAAATCTTACGGAGCAAACATAAAGATTTTCAAAGACGGTGTTTCAGGGTTTCCTTATAAATAAATGAAATTTAAAGCACCCAAAGAAGTTTCAGCCGAAACCCAGACAAACAAGTGCACAACAAGAACTATGAAAAGCTCAAAAACCCAAACAAAGTAGAAGCTTTTAAGAAATTTTAGCATTCAGGACCATGAATTCATCAAGAAAAATAAAACCCTAGATTTGAAAACCTAGGGTTTTGAAAGAGAAATCCGAAATGCAAGAAAAAGAAGAAGAAAGTGAGGGTAAATAAAAGACAAAGGAGTAAAAATGATTTGAAAAAGGTAGAGCTTTTGAATCAAAATGCATCAAGTAGAAGCCTTTTCTCTTTATCTTTAGACTAAAACTGAAAAAATAAATTATTGGGGGAACTCTTACTGTTTAGTAAAGAGTCAAGTGGGGGTATTAGTATTCCGACTAAAGACCATTTTTAGGAAAGAGTTCGAGTGATGGTCCTGGGAGGGAGGGTAAGTGACCCATAAAAAGTACCCCCAAAAAAAACACCAATTACAGTGTGTTTGTCCTTATCAAATTCCCATTTTTCTTAGTGCAGTGAGCTGTATTCATCTTGTTTTGAATTATTTCTTTTTTTTTAACTCTGTTTGAATGAGTGTGTCCATACAGTACAGTTTTAGTCTTTATTACTTTGATTAATAACTGAGTCAAGGAGCCAGGAAGAGACGAGGTGGTCAAGGAATCTAAACAATGACTCTAACAAGGGCGAAATAAGTTTGTATTCATTTTTAAAAATTATTCATAAATGTGAATGTGAATATGATGTAACCAAGGTACTATATTTTGGCTTCACAAAGCAAAACAACAGGTTAAATGACGTTGGTCTTCTTTTGTTTCTTTCAGATTCTCCGAACGATGTCGTTGCACAGGTTTGGCTCATCTATCATTTCCACTTTCAGAACAGCTGCAATGATTTCTACACCAGCTCTAGTTTTGAATGCACGCCGGGTGCTAGACTCTACTCCTTTGTCCTTTGATTTCCCGTAATAATTTCCAGTCAATTATCTTAACCTTGACCATTTGTGTATTTTACTTTATATTTGGATTTGGTATATACTATCATCAAAATATAATATTTAGTTTTTGATGTTTAAGTGCTAAATTATTTATATTATCGAATTTTGAACATTGATTCGTTTATACCGTGATGATATCTGAAGTAGTTAATAAACCATTTATGCAAGGCAACAAAGCAATCCACAATCCCAGCCCCACCACTCTCCTCCATTCCTATCTGATCTACGTTGCTTCCCATGACAAGAAGTTTCTGCCCCATTTCGACCTATCTCACCACCAAAACCGATCCCTTCACGCTCATATTCGCCACGGTTTCTACAACGAGACTCCTCATCCTCCAATGCACTTCTCTGAAACTCTTCACCTCTTGTTTGAGCTCGTCCAAGGTAGCGTTTTCGTTTAAACTCGTACATTCATATGGGGGCAGCATCAGCTTCTTCAGCCCTTCGTCTATCCCTTCATTGTTTCTCGATATAATCGTGCACCAGAGCTTGAATGAGCTGAACCTTTGTAATCTTACATCTAGGCTTTGCTTTGGAATTGTTCATAATGAGGGCTTCCGAGTTGGGAAATACAGTGGAAATATCTTCCACGCAATATTGTACTCTAGTACTTTAGTTACCGGGTTTAAGCAACGACGAACCAAGTAGTTACCCACTATGTGATTCCCAAGTGATTTGATATAAAATTCCAGCAACCCTGTGTCATCAATATAAGCTCGTGCAGCATCCCTTCTTGACTCGAAAGCCACCTGAACTCGGCGTTTTTTTAGCAAGCGCAATGGTATCCCTTGGATTGCTTCGGTGGCTTTTCGATAAATCGGTTGGTTTAAGCCGTAACATCCTCGTCCGAATTTGTATCCCCATCGACCGAAGCATGGATGATCGTATGCTACTCCATTAAACAACCTTCGTTTCTTTGAGGTGTCACTCACTTTCCTAAGAAATCATGCATGAAAATGGTTCAACTTTGGGGTATTTGAACTGTAAATTGTAATGAAGTATTCAAGGTTGATCCATAGAAAACAAGCTAACCTGGCTTGCAAACCAGTGCATAACCGGTCCCAGAATTCAATGACCTGATCGCCGGTCAACCGATCTGAACCCATCTTCCCGCCATTGACACGCAGTAAATGCGCAAATCCATTAGAATGAAAGACACCATGCATCCAAGTATGGATAGAGGGGGTGCAGGGTGCATCCCTTGAAAATTTTAATTTATTTAGACTTTTCTCCCATTTTCTGTGACTATTTATAATTTTTCCCCTAAGTTTAATATTCGTTCCATCCTTATATAATTTAATATAATAACAAATTTTCCCTAAAATTTGTGTATTCTAATTTTAGACATGATTGATTGAGCGTGTCTTTGTCCTACAAGACACAAAGATGTGGTTTTGGTAAATAATCTAAGAACGATAAAATGGAGAAGAGTGATTTATTTTTACCAACATTTATGTCCTTTAAACATTGTCAGATAATTCGAATAATATTGATATGAATGCAGAAAAGTGAATTGAAAGGTATTATCTCCCTAATAAACTTATAACATCCTATTTAAATTCATCAATCCGAGTTAATCAGGTCATATATAAAACAGTGAGCTGAATGATTATTTGATGATTACAAGCTGTAAGCCAATATTGATGTATATTGGCTAATCCAGTCCGAGTGGAAATCTCTTTGGAACTGAAAGTTTAACCTATAACTGATGATAGTTGTTTCGGTTTAATGTAAATGTATGCAGGGAGTGTCAAGGCCATAGTTTGAATCCATGCACCAGACCACTTGAAAACCAGCAAAAACGCCTCTTCTAGGGTCGTCATTCCATGCCGTTCCACAGACGAAATAACTACAAGATTAGAAAGCTGAAAGAGGTTGATCTCTTCTCGGAAAATATGGAAAACTGGTTGTATTTCCCTGCAAAAGCTGCCTCTACTTTAAGAGATGCAATTTGGGAAGAAGCGCATGAATCCAGCATGTACTGCTTTATGTTTCGAGTCAAATAGCAGCGTCAGCTACCAAATCCTCTAGAATGCTGTCCACTAACTCTGTAACAGCTTCCTCAGTACCGAGTTGGATATCAATCCATGTTCCGGATTTGCGCAAATCCTTTTCAACAAGTTGCTGTAATGTTTGTTGGGGCAGGTTTGAGAGGAGGAGCCAATCAACATGTCTCAACACTTCATGAACCATATTTTTTGATAACATAGCTCGTTTAGGCTGTAGGTTGACAAGCGATATCCAAGGGGAGCATCTAAAATAACATTGATATATCTCCAAAAGGACTTCACTTATGTAGCCAAAAAGCAGCCTCTGATCGGTACGGGACTTCTTTGGCCATACTTCAACATTGTCAAACAAGGATGTGTCGAGCATTTGGTCTGACAAATGCCATCTCTTAGAGAGCTCATCCCAGTTGAGACCAGAAAGTTGCAGAAGCTCTCTTATGCATTCAGACAAAGATCCTTGCTTGTCCTCGGAAGTACCTGCATTATTCTTCGGATCCAACTGGCATTCCAAGAGAGAAGTTGCATAGTCTTCTTCAATATCTAGACAAGATGATTCGACTGGCAGCTCAGCTGTGCAAGATTCCGATGTTAACTCAGTACTACAAAATGATGTACTCTATATAAAAAAGTAATTTTTCTACGAAATGAATTCACCTGCTAGAGGTACAGTGCTAGGAGAACTAGTGTTCTCTTCGACAAACACCTGTTCAAGAACCGATATAGGACTTGGCTGCCCTTCTCTGTCACTCATGCTATCAGAGATTTTTGCTCTTTGAATAAATGGAGGACTTGATGAATAAACATCTGTTGAAGAAAATGATGTTTGGTCTCTTGAAGGTGAATTCTAAAAAAACAAAGCGAGAGGATAGAACAAAACTTCAGCAAACAAGACAACAAAATTAAACAGGAGAACAAGAAAAGAGAAAGCACAGCACAAGAATGAAAGATATGAAGAGTTGATGCACCGGTCTACTGGGAGAAACTCAAAAGTATAAAAAGGGTTTTACCAGTTTTGAGCATTCAAAGTATTCATTTTCTCTGAAGAGGTTGATTGCTTCAGTTCCTTGAGTCATGCTGGTATTCTGCACACCATTTGGTTCCAAAGTGACATCTAAAGCATTACTTTCGCATTTGTCACACCTAACAGCATGATTTCCTTCCACAACTTTCCCAGGACATACAGAAGTTTGATTACCTGTTCAGATAAGATAAATTATATTACGAGGAACAAATGATGATTGGAATTTCATTTTTCTCTTTCATAATCAAGACGTACCTTTGTGACTAAAATCATCAGCAAGGGAATGTACAGTTTTACGCACTTTGGTGAGAGGAGATAAATCAACAGAGGTACTTTTCTTTGCATCTTCCGATTGGTTTTCTGCCCTCTTGTCATCAGACACTGGCTGAACGCCTGAAGTATTAATGGGAGAACTTAAGCAGATGTTCTTTTCTTTCTGAACCCTCCACTTGTATACATTAACAGTTGAATAGTTACTGTATGGTGAAAATCTCATTTGTGGAGATGCAAACTCACGTCCCTTGTCCCTTTGTGGAGTAAGTCTACACAACAAGTCATATTCAGGAAAAGACTTTAACCTATCCAAAGTTCTCCGTGTCTGTTTCCTTGAGAAATCTTCATTTCCTCTATTTGACATATCTGAAGAGTGTTTATTAGGGTGAAAATTTTCATTGAGATGCCTTACAGTTAACAGATTTGAGGTTCTGTGACAGCTCTCTGTGGATGAGGTAGCTTCGCTTCCGATGCCTGAAATAGTGTTATATGCTTGGTTTATCTCGTCTCTTCTATTGGCCTCATGGAAAGATTCAGACATTTTTTCAACATTACTAGCAGATATTTTTTCAATTTCCTGCCTGCCCTTTTCTTTATCACCATCTTCAAACTGTTCAAAGTCACGCAGGGATCTACAAATGTCATCTAGGAACATCTGATGATCCTCTTTTTTATTCACCCTCATCGCGTGCCTTAACTTCCTTTTCATGTGTTCAAAGGACAAGAATGTTGGCCTAACACTTCTCTCCTTCTCCCTCGAGCTATGAGAAGACTGTGGTGATGGCCAATTATTGATTTTATCAGGAAAATTTTGTGACTTCGAGACTGCTGTTGTGTTTGAAAGCTGGGGCATATCACTTCCCTTAGAGAGGAACATTTGAGCATCTGCTGACCCTTCACACTCCTCTGCTCCTTTTGGCTGGCACTGTGATGTTTTAGCTTTGGAGGAAGATCGAGGTTGTTGTTTCTTCACCTGAGAATCCCGTAAATCTTGAATATGTTTCACTAGCAGAGAATTAGGGTCTTGTAGGAGTTTCATGAATAGTTCCTTGTTGGAATTCAGAACCTCCAATGCATCTATAAATTCGTTAGAACAGTTGGCAACCTCATTTCTACAAAGACTCTCCCCATCAGTTAATTTCTGATCTACGAAAGCTTCAACCGCTTCATTCATTTTAACTTGAACATTAATCTCCATCTGATGGCAATGCTTCCTGCCTCCAACATTTTTACAACAATTTCCTCCATTGGTAGTATTCGCGTCGCTATAAGATGCTTCTGTCACCGGTGCCAGGTTGTTTTTTGAAGATTCCTCTACCATTTTTTTATCGGAAGGCTGCCTACACACCTCAGTGGCAGCATCACAACCAAGAACAGGAAAGCGGCAGGATTTCTTAGAACTCTTGCTCGCCTTCCTATTTTCCTTTGAATGACTGACAAGTTTGGGGTTAACCGGTTGATTCTGCAATTCAACATTGGCCTTTTCGTTCTCTGTCTGATGTTTCACAGGCATCTCTTCTTTTATAATATTTTTAACATCTCGTTTCCTAGATTTTGCTGCTACGTTTTTGTTATCAACTGCATCCTGAAAATAAAAATCAAAACAGATATACGTGAAGCATCAGACAATGAAGAAAAGAACGCCATGAAATGCAAAGCCAAAATCTATAACAGGTTTAGCATAATTGCAGCTAAGAATCGGTTCACAATCTGTTATAAAGAAAGAACAGATTGCCTTCATAAAAAAGGGTAATCAGAATATGCATTGAGTTTTATCGTAAAAGCAAGTTAATAAACTCACATCTGCGTATTGAGCCTTCTCCCGGTTAGAGTGTAAAGTAGGCTTATTCCTTTTATAACCATCACCTGCAGATGAAAAATCAGAATAATTGAACTTAAATGGACATGGCGTCCATAAAACTTGAAGAAACTGCATGTGACATGATCAAGAATCAGAACAATTAATCTACTTTAAAGAACATATAGATTCATATCGAAAAATATACTTCATTCTCAACCAAAGATAAAGGGCTTCTTACCTTTGGCCTGCCTGTTGGTGCGCTTTTTATCAGAAATTAGCTTACCGTGGAAATGAGCTTGGCGAAAATCGAAGAAGTGAATTAACCCCCAGGCACATCCTGACTTGTACTTTTCATAGATTGCAGGGCTTTTAGGTGACAGCATAGGACTCTTGAGAGCTGGGCTCCTAGGTAATCTCCTATCCATTTTTGGGTGGATGAGTGTTGACTGCTAACAATGGGGCATTTTGATATGTTTATTCAGAAATCTGAGCATGAGAACCTGGAAAACAGGATCAAATGAAGAGAAATTCTCAGTCAAAGTGTCAAACATTGCACGACATCACAAATAAATGAAAACTGGAAGAGATCCGAATTCGAATGTTATGCACTGCTGAGGTAATTCTTGTTGAATATGATGTAATAATCTTCATCCTCCCATACACATATCCATCAAAAGGAACCGAGAGACTGACTGATAAAGAAATATACTTAAATGTAGAGGATTACTGAAACAAAAAAGAGCACGATTGTATTGATAATGAACAGATATAAGAACACTCAAAACCATCTAAGATCCCTGAAATGAACATAGAATGCAATCTATACTCTACCAACCAGCATTGTTTCAATATAAACACAAACAATGGCATACCCATCATATCTGAACCGTTAAAAAAACAACCTATTTCATGCATTATTCATCATCTCCAAAAGTCAAATCAAAACCCAGAAAAAAGAAGGGGGGAAAACGTGTACCTTCATCAACCATATGAGTTCATAATCACGAGCCCTTTCAGCAGTAAAGACAAACTAAAGAATAGAAGAAGAAGAAGAAGAAGAAGAAGAACAAAATACGGAGAGTTTAACTTAAAGCCGTGAAGTAGAGGGAAGATAGAAAATAAAATAAAAATTGGTGGGAAATCTGGTTCGAGGATAAAGAAACAAGAATGGCAGAGAGTTTATTACGACATTGACAAGTAATATAGGAATAAGGTTTGGAGATATATAATAAAACACACTAATGGGCTATGGGGGTAAAGTTATATAAACTTTGAAATGAAGCAAAATCTTGAATCCCTTTGTCTTCTTTCTTCATTCTCCCTCTCTTTCTTCTCTCTCTGCAATTAAAGCTTCCAACCATGTCACCCATCCGCTCATGTTTCCACTTATTGCTTGCATGTCGTATTGTTGGATTTAAAAATTGCGATAAAGTAGTTTTTGCTCCTTAAATTTAACAACTTCTCTTAAATTAGTCCTTGATTCTTTTTACAATTTTTTTTTTGAATTTGGATTATGTTAAAAAAATAAAAAAAATACTAACATCTTTCTTTAAACAAATCAACCAGAAGCTTCCATGTGGAGATTTAATTATTTAAAAATTTTAATAAAATAGAAAATCATAATGAAAATTAATTTTAATTAAATCAATTTAATGATTATAATTTTATTTAAAATTCTATCTATTATTCTCCCACAAATAGACTTTTTATCTAAATATCATCATTAAAGTAAATATTTAAATTAATTTTAATTTTTGATTAATTAAACAATTGTATTTTTTATTGATCAGACGTGTTATATAAAACAAGAGCATACATTTCTTCTACTTAACATGTTATATTAATAAGAGATCTTTGTGTGCCAATTTTACTGTCATATGTTGACTTTTCACGTAATTTTAAGAAGAATTTCTTTTGTCGAAAGTAAATATGTAATATGATTTTTAATAATTATTGAATTTTTTAAAATGGCAATTTAAATATTTTTTTTTGGGAAACTAGATACATAATATAAAATTAAATAAATTATAATTTAATTAAATTTTATTTTTTTCAAAATAAATATGATTTTTAATAATTATAATTTTATTTTTTTGAAAGTAAATATGATTTTTAATAATTATTGAATTTTTCAAATAACGATTTGAATATAATATTTTTAAAATATATAATAAAAATATTATAATATTTGACTAAATATTAATTTTTTACCTTTATTCTTTAATTTTAGAGCATTTTAACTCCTAATAATGACCTACACCACTCGCGGTCTAAAGCCTAAACCGAAGCCAAACAATATTAATATTTGTTTACAATTATTACAAGGGTAAAGTATATAAATTATCCCCGATTATATGACATTGTTTTGTTGAATACTCAACTATTAAAAGTTATAAAATGATCTCATGATTATAGGGTATATTTTTTGTCCATCGACTATTAAAAGTTACAAAATGATCACTCGACTATTCATATGTTCCAAACTAATTATTTTTTGTTAAAAATTTAACTGGGTTTAAACTGAATATTAACATGCTGACTGTGATATGAATTATGATAAAATTTGATCAAAAATTGTTTGAGCTATATTGTAATTCTAGATTTTGAGATCAAATTTTATAATATCTCACTCAGCAGATTAAAATCAAACTCAAATATTCATTAATTTTTTAATGGAAAACGACAAGTTTGAAACATATCGATGGTCTGGTAATCATTTTATAATTTTTAATAGCCATAGAGGTCAACAAAGCAACGTCATATAGTTAGATGATCATTTTGTAACTTTTAATAATTAAGAGACTCAACAAAACAACACCATATAATCATAAGACTATTTATGTACTTTATCCTTATTATAATTAGGGTCGCAATTAAGATTTTATACTAATGAATATAAATTTAAATAAATTATATTAAAATTATAAAGAATGTGAAATTATAAAATTTCGAATGATACGAAATTAAATTATAAATAAAAAGTATAAAAGAAATATTTAAATTATATATGAATTTAAATTTTTTTAAGATAAAACCTTCTACAATTTATCTGTGACTATTACAGCACATGTACTCCTCCATCACTGCCTACTCTCATTCAAACACCATACAATTGTCGCCTAAACCCATCACCATCATCATATACGGTTGACAGCCAGGCATCGGTAAAGCACAAGCTCCGTTACATCGTTCAACCTTGACCTCAATGTTTAATCATGAAAATATACATGACATTAATTAATACAGTATATTTTCTTAAATTTAACAAATAATTAAATATAAAAAGGGTAAGTGATTTTGACGGTAGGAGTTGAAGCATTCGTCTTGGACGTTATGGCCTATGTGGTAGAGAAATTAGAAAGCAACAAATTAGGGCAGAGACGTTGATAAAATGTGTAGATAATAAGTGTGTTATTATCCAAATTAAAGATGGCTAGATTGAAAATAAATTGAAATTTTAATGACTTAATTGACAATTTTTTTAGTTCAATCATAAACAAACATAATCATATTAATAATTTAGTTACCTCAAAGATAGATAGTTTACCCTAGGAGACATTATAGGGATATGTAATTCCATGGACGGACAAACATTAGAGATTGCTGTCATTCTTTATGTTGGCTCAATTAGTGTTGTCATTCATGCCTATTAATCATGAATGGCTTAAAATATTCAGCATGCTTATTTAATCACTATTGGTAGATTTAGCATTTAGGGGGCCAATTCAAAATGATCTTCATCAAATATTTTATGCAAAATTCAAATTTTATTACTTTTAAATAATTATCATTTAGGGTGAGAAAATTTGGTCTGGTCAAGCTGCTCATCTTTATTTTCTTTTATTTTTGTAGGTCATGAATTATAAACTCATTAAGAACATTCCCCTTACTTCTCTTAAAATCTCTTTTCCTCTCCCTAAATTAGGATTAGATTTATAATTTGTTAAAAAATAATAACTTATCATTTATCACATAAATCAAATTAATTATGAGAAAAAACATATTATAAATCTCGATTTCAATACTTTAATTATTTATTGTTTTAAGTAATATTTACATAGTAATTATTTAATACATTACCTCCGCAAAACTGTATATTTTTTCAATTTTTATTTATAATTAGGGTAACTTATAAATTTCATCAACATTTTTTTATTTTGGTCATTAAAGTTTAAATTTTTTAACTTACTCGTTAAACTTTTGATTTGTTCTTATTTTGATCACTCAAGTGTTAAATCATAAATGGAAGGATGACTGGATAACAATGTGTGATGATGTGGATTATTTTCTATTAACATGGAACCATGTGTCATCCATGCCATTTTCTCTATATTTTTTAAAAAATTTATCTTCTTCCTCTAAAGATGAAAGTTTTATAATTTTATCTATGTGTCATGTTGACGTTGCAATTACCATTTTCAAATGTCTTCTTTGACCACTAAAGATATTAACAAACTCTCCTTATTGTCTCATACCATTCTATCAATTTAGGTTTGACCTAAATCGCTTAAAAACTCATAAAATTTCAAAATATTTTGATTTATAATATCTACCTTCCCACAATTGGTATTTGAAAGAAGATGTTTCATCATCAAGAAATCATTTCAAGGCTATTTTCATAATTTTTAAAAGAAAAATGTTTAGTCAAAACACCATTAAATATTTAACAACAAAGTAATCAAAATAGAAGTAAATCAAAAGCTCAATGAGTAATTTGAAATTTTTAAAATTTTTGTGACCAAAATATGAGTAAAAATAAAATTAAATGATGGAAATTATAATTTACCCGTAAAATAAATGTAGGTAATTACTGAAATATGTTGGCTACCGAATGAGATTTTTGTGACCGTCCAACAAATCTTAGAAAAAACGTTTGTGGATGGTTTTGGTTAGGTTATTATTTTCGAATTTGTAAGGAATGCAATTGAATTGCATACGTTTTCGGTTAACTATCCATAGCTTCGACCAATCGAGCTTCAGGGACCGGTTAAGTCGGGCCCGGTCACGACAGGCAAAGGGACCACCGGTTCGCTGCCGGTGATTGCAGGGCACAACGACCCCGAAAAAGGTACCCAATCGACCATCTATCCAACAACATCAATGGGAAAGCGAAAAATATGTGTAGTGTTACGATTTTGCTACACACTTTTTTTATTAGTATGTGATTAATATAAGTTAATATATGTTCGAATGATTCTCAGCCATTTGATAATGAAAGTTTAAATATTCCTACAAATATTATGTTCGAATCCAACATCTCTGAAGATAAAAATTATCCCTTTAACCAATAAAATCATTTAATTTATGTGATTTTACTACACACCTAAATTACAGCACAATGCTAACTAAACATTTTAACGAGAATTAAGGAATTGAAATCAAACCATGGTTTTATGTTTAGTGGTCTGGTCGGTTTTTTATTGAGTTTGGTAATTTGGTATTAAATTTCATTATTTGAATTTTGAATTTGAATCTAGAAATGATAATCTCAATTTTATGTGATAATTTGCATTTGAATTTTAAATTTTGATAGTTGTGGGATAATGTAATAGTTTTATATGATTGGATTGACTTAAAAAAAAGTATTCGTTTTTTCTCTCTATTATAGGTACATACATGTACCAATGTGTTCTGGTGTACCATTTTGAATTTATCATTATTTTTAAATGTTTTCCATATATATTATGTATAATGTACATATATCTTAATTACATACATACAACTATATTTATATGTGAAAAGAAATCTTGAAATTATTAATTCACTTCAATAACTTAATTACATGATTATATTTTAATTTTGAATATAATCATGTATAAAATAAAATTAGCTAGAAAATAAATAAAAGAACAATTTTAAATTTTAGAATCTCATATAAATAAATACATATTGATAGTGATTGAAGTAGGCCAAAACATATTAAAAATTTGATTGACGAAGTAGACAACTATAGTAGACGGTGGTTGGGATTAGGGTTTTGGTGGGGTTGGTTCAATCTCTTGGAGAAGAGGTATGTATGTACCTTTATTATATGTTGCATGATTATTTGTAATGTTATAGATATATGTCGATCGAGAGTTGTTGTGATAT